ATATTTTTTATAAGCCTCGGCTGGGATGACCTTCAGTTTCTTGTTTTCCTTGAGATGCTTCATACCCAAAACATTAACCAAAATGTGTTGAGTTGATCCATAACAGATGTTTAGATCTTCTCCTACTTCTTTTATACCAACACGACGATTTTCAAACTCTGTTTCTTTAACTTTTTCCATGTTATTGTCATTAACAGACATGCATGGATGACTTGCATGAGGTTTTGATGACTTCACCAACTTCACTATGAATTTGGAGCCACTCAAATGCTTGTGTTCGTGATAGTGTAGACTCTCCAAAATACGCTTGCAATATGCAGTAGCCGTATGTCCTTTTGAAACAAAAAATTTCCAGCAACATTTTTGTTCAATTTACTTTTACCATGATAAAAATCGTCTGACGAACTACATATGGATATAAAATTTCCAACTAATATAAAAAAGGGTTGTATCAATCCAGAATTTCATATAAAATATAATTATAAATATATATCAGAAAATACGAACTTATTTTCAGTACCCTGTTCTTCACTGAACTCTTTTCTAAGGTAGAAAATTGGAGGGTTGAAGAAAAAATTATGATTTCGTTGGCTCCGCTGTTATTTGATATACATACTTGTATGTATGTATCTTGAATAATCTACATATTCTGAACAAATGTTGTAGGAAAAAATTTCTACTGGAATGCCTATGAAGAAGCTCACAATATATAAATGTATTTTTTAATACAAAATATATGTAACACATTTAAATTAAAAAATAGTATCGTAACGAAAACAAAGTGGCAGCAGCAAAACAAATGACAAATAGCCTATGCAAAAGATACAAAAAAAAAAAAAATAAATAAATAAAAGAAAAAAAACAAATAATCAACAAATTAACGTCAGCCAGTCGAGCGTGAGTGAGCGTGTGGAGAAAGCGTTAATATTATTTTCGCTCCAATCGCCTAACAGCGCAAAAATACAAAATCTAATTTTATTTACATATCTACAAATAAACAAAATATGAGACTGATGATGAAGATGACACTTTACACGAAAACATCATAAAGCACAACAAAAACAACACTGGCAATTAGCCACTTACTCATCTTTGCGGTTACAACTTTGTCTGCTTTTTGCGGTTTTTTGAGTTTTTTTTACGGTAAACAGGAAAACCATTTAAAAAAACCATAATTCAGCCTTACAACAGCAACGCAAAAGAAGACACAAACAACAACAATAATAACAGCGACAACATATGACACACTACATATTGTTTTTGTGGTTATAGTTGTATTTGCGATTAATTATGATCGCTTCGTAATCATAATATTGTGGTTAGTATAATCGTTGTTGTTGTTTTTGTTATTGCGTTAGCAGCTGGGCCTGTCAGTTTATTGTCATTTAGTAAGACAGTTAAAAGAGTGCTGCTGACGACTTCTTCGCAAACGCGCTAAGTTTGCGGCCAAAAGCTGACTTGACCGCAAAGCGGCCAAGTAACAACAACAAAAGCACAACCAACGCTTCACCATCTAAGCCAACTAACCGACAAAGCAACCGGTCCGCTCTTGTTGTCAATCACTTGCCGCACAATATTCGCAACAAGCTCGCAGCAACAGCAACAACAACAACCACAATAATAATAATGAAAATTTATTTTATTCACACCGGTTGACTAGCGCTGACGACGGTGGTTGCGGTTGTGCTCGTGGTCGTGGTATTTGGCTGACTTTTGCACTGGCGACTCTCGCTAGCGCAATTCATTCGCTCATCAGACTTCGCCGGTTACACGCGTATAAAAATTCGGAACGCGCATCGTTGCGATAATCCGACGCCAATCTCTTGTGCTACCGCTACTTGCTTGTGCTGCTGCTGCTTCTTCTTTCACGTCCTCTACATACACACACACACACACACACACGTCGTTCATCTCGACGCGTTTCCTCTTGTATCGATTGTTGTTGTTGTATTATTGCTATCGCATTGCTGTTTTGTGCGCGCGCAGTAGCAAAGTTTGTTGTTTTGCCGTTGTTTTTGCAATCGGTGTGGACTCGGAGGTAAAGGAGCAGGCGGTCGCCGCCGACGCGCGCGTTTCTTGTGCTGTATCATTTCTATATTTAACAGCCAACCAGTTGGCGTTGTTTGTTATAGTTATTGGTGTTGTTGTTGTGTTTCTTTTCTTCTTCTTCTCAATTTATTGCTGCTTGCCATACCTCTGCAGCAATAGTTCGTGTCAGTGGCAACAACAACAATTGTTTGTATGTGAAAAAGTGTGGCGGCTAAAGTGTTTGTTGGTGCTGTGCAGCCAAGGCTTCTTCCTCTTCTTATTCAACATTGCCACTTGCAGCAAGTGGCTAAGAAAAATCATACAAAATGTGAGAATCTTGTGTTATATTGTAAATTCAATTTATTTCTGTAAAATTTTGCCTGTTTTATGAAGTTTTGTGTAAATTTTTGAAATTTTTCTTTAATTTTGTTTGTTTTCTTATTTTTGAAAATTTTATTTAATTTTTGTTTTGTGAATTTTTATTTATTTTTTGGTTTTTGTTTAATAGAGTATAAGACGTTTGGTGAAATATTTCAAGATGCAATATATGTGCTATAATAAATTTTTTAATGAAAAAATAATCATACATATACACATACCCTTTTTTTTTTGTATTTCTAACGGTTGATCGCTTATATTATTAACTTTATCGGTATTTGATATATAATAATAAATTTTTTTTGAATATAAGTGTAATAATAAATGTCTGAAAAATTTTAGAATTTCCTCAATTTTCAAAATACAAAAAAAAAAAAAATAAGCAAAATGTAAATTAATTTGAAAACTTCTTAATTTATCCGTTTTGAAATTAGTTTGAAGTCGTGTTTTTTGAGCTAAAAAGCATTAATTTCAATAATGAAGGTTAAACTAAAACTGTTATAACTTTGTGAGAATTATACGGAAACTATACTTTTTCGTATATGTATTTTCGATTGAGCTTTAAAATATTATATAACATTTTTTTTTGTGTTTTTTAAATTTTGTTTTAAATTTTTATAAATTTTTTTTTCTTAATATGTTTTGTCAAATTTTTTTTCTTAATATTTCTTTTTTAATGTTTTTTTTATAAATTAAAATTTTTTTTTCTTTTAATATCTGTTTATAAAATTACTTTATGATTATTATTTATTGTTCTTTAATTTCTTTGCTTATTAGTTTTAATTAATTTATTTTTAACGTTTTTGTTTTAATTTTTTTTTAATGTTTTTGTTTTAATTTTTTTAATATATTTTTTTAAATATTTTTTTTTTAATTTTTTAATATTTTTTAAAAATTTTTTTAAATTTTTTTTTCATATATTTTAAAACTGTTTTTTATTGTAATTTCTATTAATGTGTTTGTTTTAATTTTTTTTTAATTTAAAAAATTTTATATATTTATTTTTAATTCTCTGATGTTTTATAATTTTTTTTTACATTCTCTTGTGATTCTGATCTCTACTCTAGAGTGTTTAGGCTATTTCGGCGCCAATATATACATTCATACTAACACACAAACGCATATGTGCCTATAAAAGTCTGCCATAGCATCATCATAGCAATTAATTGATAGTTGATTGAATTGGGAGCACAATAAATTAAGAGTTTTTTAGTACAAATAAAATAGATATGCAAATTAATTATTTATAAAAAAAACTGCTATTTAACTATTGTTGTTTAATAAAGCATATTGTAAGTTATAAAATTTAAAAGATAAAAATAAACTAAAAAAGGAATTGAAATAATTTTATAAATAATACAAATATTCATATTCAATTTCTAGAAAAAACCTTTTCAATATAATTTTTAACTTACTTACTTACTCACTTAGTTTTTCTTTAAAATATGAGTTCACCAATCTTTAATAATTTATTTACCAGTTTCATACTTCTAAATAATTATATCTCTCTCTTGTTCTTTGCGAAGTGTCAAAACGATGTTTGCATGTATTAAAAAATTCTCATCTCTGACATAAAAATACGCAAACAAAAGCATCAGTAAAAAGTTTGTTGTTCTTTTTAAAACAACACAATTTTCTAATTGGAAATATTAGTTTGTCACAGCCTTCCAAAATAAATCATCATTAAAAATATCACTACTAAGTCTATTATATATTATGTATATATATAAGTAAGTGTACATAAATACGTATATTTTTGTCCTTTCGCTGGCATTGGCGTCATTGCTGCTTGTGGCTATGTCGATTGCCGGTTATAGGCATTTTCAGCGAGGAATGTCGCAAATTCACAGCTGGCCGTAAGTCGACGGCCCCGCCCACAATTGCGACACATATAACGCACACTTTTTCTTATTATTATTTATATTTAATTTTTAATTTGCGCTCCACAACACATTAGACGTGTTTACGGTCATTCTGGACGAGGGCTAGAAATAGACTTAAGTGTACCTGTGTATGTATGGTATGTGTGTGTCGAGGTTTACAATAAATATTTATATCCGCTTCTATGTGTATTTACAATTATTTTCGCTGATTTTTGTTTGAAATTTTGCCAAGAATTTGTATTATATATATTTATATAAACGTACATATGTGTAGGTGTGTGTTGATTTTTGTATTTATAACAAATTTTAATTTGATTTATTTTAATTGTTTTTCTTTTGTTTTTCTTCTTTTTTCCTTCCTATGCCATTTTCGTCGTCGTCGTTTTCAACATTTCCACACACAATCACATAAAATAAATAAACATGACAATATATGCAATAAATCAATGAAAAATTAATAAAATTTAAAATTAAAATAAAAATAAAAAATTATATAAAAAATTAATTAAATAAAATTTAAATTAAAAAAAAAAACCTTTATATAAAACAAACGAAAAAAATGTTTAATTGAAAAAAAAAATAATAAAATTTTTAAAATATAAAAACATCAACATAAACAACACCAATTCCGTTCCCCATGTACACTTTCCACCACCAAAAACAACAATAAAAACAATATATTGCACCTTAAATAAATTGTTTAACGCGCAGCTCACTAAAGAAATACCAAAAAAATGACAACGGCAATATAGTTAACCGAACGGCAGCGTCTGCAACATAACCTAAATTACGTTAATTGCAACAAAAAATAATTAAAAGTGAATGCCAGTTGTAGTGTTTGCCACATCAACTGCAACAAGTGTTTGGAAAGCCGGCCAACAGCCTCAAGCAACATTTAACAATACATACGCACCCCTGAAAAACATAATGGCCTCTCTACATGCCACCAATTCATGCAACAGCAACAGCTGCAGCGTCGCTCTGGCCAACAATAAGCCGCTAACACCAACAAAAACCACAGTTAAATTATTGAATGGAAAAAGTAGCAGTGATTGTGACGTTGTTGTTGCCCCAACTGCGCCAAACAACAACCACAACCACAACAACAACAACAATAGTAAAAGTTACAACAATATAAGCAGCAATGTTGAGCAACTTTTCAATTCCGCTTTGAAGGCATTACATTTGCCACAATGTGTTGGCGGCGGCGCGGCAGGCAATGGTGTTGGTGGCGGCTGCGGCGGCGGCAAGAAATCGCCCGGCAAAGTGAAAACAAATGGTGAAAATAAGTTGACATTGGTGGTGCAAAAATGTGCGAAAAACATTGACATTGCTGCTGCCGCGGCGGCCATTGATGACATTGAATATGAGCAGAACGATTTGGCGGCGCAGGAGGCGCAACACGATGATGAGACCGTGCAACTGCGCTGCACTTGCCCGGCTGTCTATGCAAATAGCACAGATGCAAGTAGTGTGAATAATAAGAACCGCACCATGACAGTTACAACCACTTTTCGCAGCAGCAGCACATCGGCGCTCATGACGGCGGGCCATATGCGGCCACAAACGTTGAATGTGCATCATTTGCGTGAGACGCCATCGGATCAAACGCAAATTTTCATACGGTATGTTAACAGAAAGTTATTATCTTTATTATTTTTTAGTAGTGATTTATGCTAGTTTTTAGATTTTCTGAATTCATGTTTAAATCGCTTTTTTTTTTCTTGAAAACATAATAGTAGTTTAAAAAAAATATATTTTTATATATTTTATTAATATACTATATATTTGTATATTTATTTTATGTATTTTGAATACATTCTTCCTCTTTTTTCACTGTTTCCAATAAAGTAAAACATCGTTGCCTACATTTAGGCTGCCAGAATTCAAATCAGTCTTCGAACAGATTTTTACATACATATTTCTTATAATACCGCTGTTTTTCACCGATATTACAAGTATGTGTCTAATTTTGTGCAATAAAAAACGGAAATTTATAGATTTTCCAGTTTAGTTTTTTAATTTTCGTTATCCTGTATGTTTCTTTAAAAAACTTTGCTGGTACATTATGTATTCTGTTTATTAATTGCGAGTTGTAATGGTTTCTCCAAGTACATACATATGTATTGAACGATTCTATAAGACTCTCTTTTAAAACGAATTTTTTTTCAATAATATATGTGTGTATATGTGACTCTAGATTAAAACTTCTTTAGGCTCTACTGATCGATTAAATAGACGATATATTTATATGGAAACAAAAATCGTTCAAAATTTATTGCATGAATTAGTCGGAAGTCTAATAAGAATGCTGTGCATTAATACTTTTTAGGTCTAAAGAACAAGTGATACTAAGCTTCAAATTAATTAAGCTTGAGGAATCACTTGAGAAATACTCTCTGAATATTCAAATGAGTCCACGAATTTTAGACTGAAAAGTTTGGAAACTCTTGTCCCAAACCCATGGTAAAAATTTCGAAGATCATTTCTAGTCCAAGTATAACTGGTAACAAAATGTAGGCTGATTTATGGACAATAGATGCATTACTTCTGAATCTTGAGACTTACAAATACTGCGTTTGAACTAAGTACACAGTGCAACGCCGAAAAAAAAGAATAAGCAGCCATATTATTATATATGAACGGAAGAAGAGGGTTTATTCTTTCCGATTTGTGCTTATTTTCTTTATTTTTTTGGTTGGCACATCCCTATGTGCATAGCCTTAGGTCACCAATATTTTTTAAAAATTAATTTTTGTTTCATTGTTTTTCTTTTTTAATTTAAAAATTTTTTTTATATATTATTCAATTATTCTTAATTTTTAAAGTTTTTCTTAATTTTTCCTATTTAAAAAATTTATTAATTTAATTGTGTTAAAAATTAATTAATTTGAATTTTATTATTTATTTAATTTATTATTATTTTTTGTTTTTTATTTGATTTCTCTTTATTTAATTTATTTTTTACCTTTATTTTCTTTTAATTATTTTTTTATTTTCTTTTAATTTTATTTTAATTATTTTTCAATTTTATTTTAATTATTTTTCAATTTTATTTTACTTCATTACTTATGTTTTTATTTTAATTGTTTTTAAATTTTTTTTTAATTTCCTGTTTTTTCCGTTGTCTTTTTTTTATGTTTCTGTTCCTTTCTTTTTGAAAATATTTTATTGTACAATAAATTTGTTTTATATATATATTTTTTTATTGAACAATTAAATTTTTTTATTTATTTATTTTTGCTTTTATTTAATTTTTTTTTTAATGTAATTCATTTTGTACTTTATTTTCTTATTGTTATTTTTTTTTATTATTTTATTTAATTTTCTTTTTCTAGTTTTTATATATTTTATAATTAATTTTATTTTTATTTTTTAATTATTTTTGTAGTTTTTGTTTTGCGTTTCTGCTTACGAGTATTCTCCAACGGTTCAGCGACAAAATATTTTGCGTGTGAAAAAATTTAAATTTTATTAATTTTGTTTGTTTGTTATTTTATTCATTATTATTATTATTTTTATTTTATTAATTATTTTTTTTTAATATTTTGTTTTTATTATTTTTTGATATAACTTATTTTTACTATTATTATTTTTTAATTATTTATTTTATAGTATTAATTTGTTTTATTTTATGATATTATTTTATTTTATATTATCTTATTATATTATTTTATTTTTTTAATTTTCTTTTTTAATTTTTTTATAGTTATATTTTATTTTATTTTATTTTTATTTTTATTAAATTTTTGTTTTGTGTTTTACACTTTTGAAAATTCTTGTGGTTTTTGTGTCGGCGTTTCTGCTTATTCTCCAACGATTCGGCGACAACATATTTTGCGTCTGGAAAAAAAGATATTTTACAAAAATATCGTTTTTTGCGCATTTCGCTTATTTGTCCAAAATCACATTCACATACATACTCATACGTATACACATGTATACATACATATATATTTGTTGTAAATCGTATTTAGTTTGCATTGCCTGCTGCAACTACACTCAAAACGAAACAGTAGCGCGCGTAGCCATCATGTGCTGCAGAATTTTGTCATCGTTATTTTAAATTGTTTATACACTTTGTTGTTATTGTTGCTATTTTTAACACAATTTTCGCATACTAGCTGTTTTTCGTGCTTTTGCCGCGGAATCGCTTTCCTTTTAAATGAATTTGTATTTTATTTTAATTGTATTCTCTTTTCACTATTTATTTATTTTTTGCGTTTTTTTGCTGTCTCATGCTTTGTTATGCATATGCATACCGCAAGTACTTATTATTGTTGCTATTTATTTAATTTTCTTTATTTAAATTTTTTTATAACGCTTGTGGTTTCTGTTGCTGTTGCTTGCCGTAGCGACGGCTGCGTCTGCGTTTCATTGAACTTGATCTTTAAATCGCAAGCGCCGTGTTTTAAAGCTCACACACGCATTCGCAACGCTTTTAGCCTGACGCATCGCTTACGCGCCGCGCATACAAAATTGATTGATGCCACATCAGTTGTGTGAGCTATATTGTTTGTACTGTTGTTGTTGTTGCTGCTATTTAATTTATTTTCCGCCATACTATGTGGCGTCGCATATTTGTTTGTGTTCGTATGTATGCGCCGTTGTACGCGTTAATATTTATGAAATGTTGTTTTTGATAATTGTGCGATGTGCCCGTTTGCTGATGATGACGCGTGTACTTCAATATTCTAGCCGCGTTTGCAGGCTGACAACAGCATCGACACCAGCCGCCGGAACACAAACGCACACACACATGCGCTTAGGCTGGTTAGCTGTTTCACATCTTTCGCTGTGTATGTGCGTTTGTTTGTTGCTGCTGCGCTTGTTCTAGCGCTTAGGCGAAAATAGTTGCAAGCGCTGTTGCAATGATTTCCTTTAATGGTATCAATTGTTGCGCGTTTAACGCGCTGCAACGCCGTTGTTTTGCTGCCGTATAACGTGCACTTTGGAATCAAATTTTTGTTGTTGTATATTTTAATTATATATACTTAGGTATAAAATTAGCTAATCAGCTTGAGTGTCACGTTACTCGTGACAGTTGTAAAAATAGTGTAATTCACTAGCTAACAATGGGCTAATAATATAATTCCTGACATTGTTGAGTCTACTTACAAGTCAGGAAAAAATTAGTGTTATATAATTTTTTTTTAAATATTTTTGAAGCTTCATTTTATGTAATAAATAATTAAAATAATAAGCATTTACAGAATTGAATATGATTAAATAATGAGCGATTAATTTTAAATTAAAAATTTTGGATTTCCTTGATTACGCAGCCGATCGGCAGGAGAACCGCCGAAAAAAGTTGTCTTGCGATGAGGGAGATTTTTCTGCCTGATAATATCTTAAATCCAAAAATACTTCCGATAAGCTGATGTATTTTGCGTGATAAAAATATGATATTCTGTAGTGTGCCATTTCCTGCCGTGAGAGTCGTTGATATTGGTCAAAAGCTAGGTTCAGGTTTTGTTTTCTAACAGCGATGTTTTCCTTAATATGATTCTAGTTTCCAGGTGGGTATGTTTACCCATCTGCCGTGCGTTGAAAAGTTTCAACTTTTTCTCTGTAGGAATCCAATTGGAAATCACCTGTCCAACCCGTAACTCAGCTCTATAGAAAAGCATGGCTGGAAATTGGACATTTTTAACTCACCTAGACTTTCCAAGAATATATTCTTGTTATGTGCTTGATGCCAGTTTCCTGCAACAAACAACATCTGTCGTTTTACTACACCTTATTTCTATTCCTGATCTTTCGAAAAAAAAACTAAAAACATGTTGCCTACATTTAGGCGACATTCCTGTTTTTGTTTACATATTTTTTTTAAATTGCTCGCTGAAACGATTATAGGCAGCGCCTGTGTGCAATCTGATCTTCCTGCCCTTTGGAAAACAAACTGAAAAAGTATTGCCTAAATTTAGGCGATATCACTGTTTTTATATATTTTGCTCGTTGTAAGCGATTGGGACTTATGATGCCGCCTGTATTCAGCTAGGACAAATTCGACTGCACCCAATTTGAATGTTTAGCGCTAAACCCATGCTGTCCTGAAGACGGTCTATTCGGACTAGAATGTCTGTTGGGATGTGAGGTTTTTGCAGGATTTCAAAAGGTTTTCTTATGATGTGCGATTAATCAGCACCAGGTTCAGTTGCTTTATATATTGGACTTAGTTATGTCGTTACACTATCTTAGCTCTTCTTAAAAAGAATAAATATAAAACTGTAAATTGGAAAAAAAAAATTAATAATGATAATAAAAACAATATTAATAACAATAACAAAAAATTTAAAATTAAAAAAAAATAATAATAAAAAATAAAGGTAATAAAAAATAAATTAAAAACAATAATAAAAAATAAAATTAAAATTTGTGTACTAATAATGAAATTCAAAAAAAAATATATATAAGTAAAAAATAAGATATAAATATAATAAAAGTAAAAAAAAAAACTGAAATTAATAAATAATAACATATTAGATTTAAATAAAAATTAATTATATTATTTAAAAAATTTTGAAAAATTTTATCACGAAATTTTTTATGTGAAATTAATTTTCATACACGATGCAAAGTTACCTAAATTTTTTTTATTAAAAATGTCTGAAAATTGAAATAG